AAGCGGTTCGGAGATGCCTATGATCGGATGATGCAAATGAAAATGTCAATAGTTTCAAAGTTATTGCTTGTTTTAGAGGGGCTTAGCAATGCCGAAGTTTGCCCTTTGGGAGGAGACTTGGTTTTCCTGAAAATGGCAGAAAATCCATTTTTCGCGCTTCTTTACCCCTTCAACGCCGTTTTAGCCCATCGGAAGACGCAGACTTTGCCTTGAAACAAATCATGCTGGGTGTTGCCCAGGTCGACCCATATTTGTTCAGTATTTTCAAATCTGGACTAGCTGTAAATTCCGCCTATCGTGTGAACACTCAAATGCTCTTCACGACTGAGCTGATTCTGGGGTTGCGTGCTGATCGGGCAATAAAGGTCGAGCTTTCATTTCTACCCGTCATCAACCGAATCTGTGTTAGTATGGTGCCGTCATTGTTACTGCTGGTCACGAGATCTACCACTCGCTTCTGACGGACCCGGAAGAGCGTCTGGGGATTACTGACGAGCGGGTGAAAGCGAACCGAGAATGCTATACCCAGCATATGTTACGGGCTCAGGATTTATACAAAGAGGATGAGGTGCAGTCATTTTGAATACCTTGAGTTCCATTTCTCAGAACGACCACTACCTAAACTCCGGTGAATCGACGATGAGCGAAGATCTGCCAGACTATGAGGGCCTCCAAGCCGCTTATGAACTCTTCCAGAAGACTGGAGGACTAGACGTTGGGCCCGATTAATAACCGCAAAAAAAATTTAAGGAAATCCCTTATCCTGATCTGCCCCGCGTCACGCGCGACCAACTATTTTTCTACGCCCATGCTGCCAGCTATTGCGAAATCGGGCCCTCGCGAAACTCCGGCGACGGGTTGTTTGCAATTAATTCTTGGGATAATTTATATTTGTTCAGACCAGACCCGCATTCTTTGGGATACCTTCGAACAAATGCACCGCTGTCGCTGCTCAGCTCGTTTCATAAAGCCTTCAAATGCCCGGCAGATAGTCGCATGGGGCAACTTTATGTAGGATTTTTATAGAAACTAGAAATCAAGAAGCAAAATGGTATTGCCCTTTTTAGCACGCCGCCCCCGTCGGCAGATGCAACCAAATCGGCGACCTGGGCCGCTTCAATGCCAACGGAAATCATTGACGCTCTATCTCAAAATTCTCAAAAAACGAAACAAATAAATTTTCACCTTGGCATATTGCGCTAAAAATAATATCCAAAACATGTCACCTCGCTGCTCTCAAAATAATTCCAAAAATTTCTATAGATTTTGGTGATAATGCCTTCGTTTCGCGGCAGTTGAAAGGCCGAGCAAACCAAGTTTCAAAAGAACTATAGTTACGCAGAAAATTACAAAGCGCATGACGAAGTGGTATCTTTTCAATATTTCAGAAAATACAGGCGTTAAAAGACCATCGGTGACTATCAGCAAGCCATTTGGCCCGAATGCAGTCCTGGTGGGTTCGGAAATTTTAGGAAAAGCCAGTTACAGTACCTGGATTTTGGTCGCGTCCCTGGCTCTGCAGCTATGCTCCGGGCAAAACCATACGCGGCCCCGTTCAACAAACTTGTTGCTCGATCTGCTGAAGCGGAACATTGATTGGAACCGTGATCCGTGCGACAACTTTTACCAACATGTGGGTGTCCTTGAATGAAGGATAAGAAGAATTCATGATATATTTTAGGTCTGCCCTTTAAATGCAACCGGGCCATTCGCCCTAGCATATTCGCTATCACCAGAAATTATCGACTATATCGAAAAATCGACGAGGCCTAGCCCAGTCGAGGTATGACTTCATCATTTACCGAACAAGTCGGGGCCAACTTTAGATTGCTCTAAAGCGAATGGTGGTAAATCCGAATGCTAATGAAACGGATCTTCGCGACCTGCGCGGTGAGTGCACGGCTCCAAAATTAGCGCGACGCGCTTAGCGTCAGAAATTTTGCTTTTTCCGGGTGCTGTAAATGCCTATGAATCAGTGTCCTGTAGATATATCTTTTTTGATGGTTATCTGTTAAATTCAGCCGCTGCGGCTTTCGTAGAGGGCCTACGTCAGCACGCAGGAATGTTAGCATACCTACGTCATGAGCTAACCCCAGAGGAGCTCAATCAGTTCTCCAACTACGCGCCGGTGGTGGAGGACCTGATTCGCGTTACCGTAAGCCAAGTAGAGGTACGATTCGTCAGCTCTGCATACTTGATATTTACATAGAGA